CTAAGCATTCTGAGTGAAAGAGCCATACACAAATGAATAAATACTGTATGATTCCTTTTTGTGAAATTCCAGAAAATGCAAACTAATCTACAGTGACAGAAAGCAGATCATTGGTTATCTGGGACCAGGTGTGGTGGGAGAGGTTAACTATAAAGGGCCATGAGGAACTTTCTCGAGCAATGGAAATGTTCTGCATCGTACTTGTCATGGTAGTTACATAGGTATCACCTTTCAAAATTCAACTGTACACTGAGTGTAATTTATTGTATATAAATTAAATCAATAAAGTGGATAGAATGACATTAAGCTGTACACTTAAGATTTATGCTCTTTGGGCACCTGCGTGGCTCAGTTGGTTAAGCGTCCAACTCTTGGTTTTGGTTCAGGTCATGATCTCAAGGTTGTGAGATGGAGCCCCACGTGGGGCTCTGTGCCTGGCATGGAGTCCACTTGCATTTCTCTCTCCCTGCTCATGCACATGCTCTCTTTCTCTTTCGCTCAAATAAAATCTTTTCTAAAAAAGATTTATGCTCTTTATACAGTTGAGAAAGAGAGAAGCTGCCGCTGACATGTAAGAGCTAGCCTGGTACTGTGAACGAGATCTTGCTGTGAATTCACATAACATCAACGGCAGAAAGGCAACCTTGGGATCCTAGTGGATCAAGACAAAAACAAGATCACCCTGTAATCATATCTAAACACAGATAAACATGAACATTATTCAAGCCACAAAATGCTAAACACTCCTGGATAATTTGAAGGCTACTTCTTTACCAATTACAATCTTAGCCTTCCTTTAGTCTTCTTTCCTTATGGATAAGATTAATTAAGATATGCAGTTATAGAATTGCCCTGATTCCTGACAACATCCAATCCAGAACAAAGCCTCACTTCCTTAAACCCTCTCTAAATCAATAAACACAAACCCAATGTTGTGTGTTCCCCTTTGCTGCAATGAGCAGTAAACCCAACTTGTTTGACCACAAGGAACGTTCCTGGTGGTATTTGGTTGTAAGACAATGACACGTTTTACTATACAAAACCTCAATAAAAATGTTAGCATGAAAATAAGCAGGGTATTTTTTAGGGTTCATATCTTGGGGGAAAAAAGTTTTGAACTGACTGACCATAAGCTAATTTGGATTTAACACTAAGGAGATTGTTCATTCACTTAAAGCCTTAAGATCACCTGTGATAATGTCCTTTTGTTCAATCAGTGAAAACAGGGAACTAATTACTTTCCATTTTTGCTGTAAGTCATTAACAGATTGTTTCAGGCTGAACAGTCAGTCCTTTATTCTCTTTAAAAATTCACCAATTCCCTTAATATAACATTTCTTCATTCCTGAGTTCTAAAAGAACTCTAAAGATCCCCCACCCCCCCGAAAGCCACCAGACTTTCAAGCAAAACCGGTTGTACTAAATAGGTAAATTAGCACAGGTGATTTTTTTTTTTTTTTGCATTCATAGAAGGGATCAATGAGTCATCTCAGGAATCTCCCTAGTTCAATAAACAATGTATTACACAAATGTCAACTATACTTCAATTTTAAAAGAATAGATTACACATTTATAATAGCCACAAACTGGAAACAAAAGAGGTAAATGGGTAAATAACTGGGAGGTGAAAATCAATGTAATTATAATATCCACCCAATTTTCTATGTTGTCACTTAAAATTTTAATATGGCCTGTCATGTCAATTATTTTTCTTATAGTTTCACTTTTTTTTTTTTTTTTAAAGATTTTAAGTAACCTCTACACCCAACGTAGGGCGTGAATTTACAACCACAAGGTCAAGAGTTGCATGCTCTGCCCCTTTTAGTTTCACTTTGGTTCCATTTCATCCATTAGCTGACCTCTTCCATTTGGAGTAGGGCATTATCTTGAATTTTCCCTGGATCCTTTTCATATAACTGAATGAAAGACAAGGAATGGGAGTTGGGGGTGGGAATAGGGAATAAACTGCAATGTAATCAGATTAATACATCTCTTTGGAAAGGGCTGAACTGCCCTGATTAAAAGAGTAAAGTCCTGGGTCATTGCATTTGTGTGAGAGTGGTAGATGGGGAGAGAAAGCCCTTTTGCCTTAGTACATGTGTTTTAGTATGTTAAATAACTAATATAAAATGACCCAACTTACCTTTATACTAAAAAAAAATTACATTCTCTTACCTAACAGTTTTTCATTCCTTCATTCCCAACCACAGAATAGTATGTCCTTTAAGAGTATAAAACTGGGGCGCCTCGGTGGCTCAGGTCATGATCCCAGGGTCCTGGGATCGAGCCCTGCATTGGGCTCTGGGCTCAGCAGAGAACCTGCTTCTCCCTCTCCCACTCCCCCTGCTTGTGTTCCCTCTCTCACAATCTCTGTCAAATAAATAAATAAAATCTTAAAAAAAAAAAAAACTTATTTGAAGTATGTATCATTTTCTGAAGTGTGAGGCTAAAGTGGAATCCACTGGATGGTGATTATTCCAAATGTGTCTGCAGCCCATGAGGTAGGATTAAGTGGATAACTGCAGTGACTGAACAGCAGTTGAATATGTATATGTTGTAACAGTTTCTCATTTACTACTTTCAGTGGGAAATCGTTATTTTAGGGTCTAATTTTCAATGTGTAAACACTATTTTTACCCATTAAAAAAAAAAAATTGGACAGGTCATGAACCATTTTATTCTGGACAAAAAGACCCCAAAAAACCAACCACCCTATTTTCTTCAATGGGCTGCTAGATTTTACTTGCTATTTTAATTGGAATATTCATAAACCGTAAGTACAGTGGATTATTTTTATAGCTGATTTGATTAGGATGTTGTCCTTTACCAAATTTCTTTAAAGGATTACGCTAGCTTTATAGCTGTGACTCTGTATCTTGGAGACTTAGATTTTATGTTAGATATTCTGATACTAGAGGAATCATGTATACCTCTTTAATCAGCTTTTTTTATTGGTTCTTACTTTATTCAGGAAAACACTGAGGATTTCAGCCATGCTTTAAAGAGCTGAATATAAACACACACAATACAATGCTGAATGTCAAAACAAAAAAACATTTCCCATGTCTTACTAAATCGAAGAATACATGTATACACGTCTAAAAAGTATTTAAGAAAATAATGCTTTTCCACAATTTCAGATATAGTATAAAGAGCTGAATATAAACATTTCCTCATCTTACTAAATTAAAGGTGAATAAATATGTATATATACATACAAAAATATTTTTTCCCAGGACTCAAGTCTATCATAAAAAATTGAGTATAACTTTAAAAAACAGATATGCATGAAGTTTCTTATTTTACTCAAAATCCAGGGACAGGGCAGCTCTGCATCATTTCACCAGTTCAACAGTGTCAAGGATGCAGGTAATTCCAATCTGTCCCCTGTGCCAATCTCAGCCTCTCAGGTATCACAGACATATAGACATGCATGCTGTAACATAAGAAGACTATTTCCTCCTATTGTTAGGAAAGAAAATTTAACCTAAAGCCTACTTGCAGACTTTTGCTCAGGTCTTGTATGGCCAGGACTGTCACATATATGCCCAGATGCAAAGCAAACTAGGTGCAAGACCTAGACTTTAGATGGGCAGCAGGCAGTCCTGGCAAAGGGAGAATGGCTAACACCAATGGATAGGCAACCAACAGTGTCTGGGGCAACAATATTGCCTTCTTTCTTCAAAACTCCTTTTTTGTAGTTACATTTCCTCTCATTCATGATGGCTGAGGGTTTTTTTTCCCCCATTTCAAGTTTTCAAGGTTTTTTGTTGTTTTGTTTTGGGCTTTGCTCTTAATTAGAGCTTTTCTACACACTAGCGTCAAGCTTATTCATTTACTCTCTCATTCCTCAGATTTCAACAAGTGTCTACAGGGAACCTATTAGAACAGGCAGTGCACCAAGTACATTGAACTGACAATGAATCATGGCCATTAACTGTCTGCATTTCCTACACATATTAAGTTAATTTTCCTAAGTATAGCTCTGTTGCATCCTACAACTTTCAACATGGAGTTTTTTTTGTCATTCACTCCGAATTGTAACTTGCCTTGATTTCCTTTCCCCTAGTGAGGCAAGAGGGCAAGGTGAATGAAAACTTCAGTTTTCAATTTTTCTCCAGAAGGAATTACCTGACATTCAATAAAGAGATGATTTAAGATGTTCCTATAGTCATGGTACACATAAGGCCTTCCTCTCATATGATGTCTATCCACAAATAGGAAAATAAATCAGCTCTTATTTAACTCACTTTCAATATGAGCCATACAGTATTCTATGGGATATAATGTAATTATTTAACTTCATAATGCTAACAAGATGGTGCTAATTAATATTACTAATTTGTAAGTGAGAAAGTTTAGACCTAGTTAAGTAATTTGCCCTATAAGCCAAGTAAAGACTGAGCATTGGTTAAATCCTTTCCCAATCTGCCTCAGTTCAGGTTAATTTTAGAAGATGAGCTTGCAAATATTTAATTAAGATTTGGGCAGAAAGAATTTGCTGCATTTTTAACATTACTGTATGTAGCCTTCCTCAAGTAAATTATGAGACAAGTAATTTGTTAGCTAAAGCAGACTGGTCTCCTATATTTATGACATTTATATTATGAATCCTCTGATTTCCCACAGGGCAAATGACCCTGATGTTGAGAACCATTTGTATGACTGTCTCTGACACATTAACTGCCTTCCAAAGCCTTCCCACTTTCCTTACATTCATGGAATTTTTTCACTTTTATATCAACTGAACCCTGATGTCTAATAAATTTTGAAACATAAATAGAACCCTCTCAATCTCTAACATTTATAAAGTATCTCAGCATTAACACGTCAAATAAATTCTGGCCCTCAAATAAAGGCCCTGTATCCACACTGCGAGCTCTGATATTGTTATCTTCAAAAGTTTTCCCACATTCCTTAAAATCAGAGGGTTTTGTTTGTTTTACTTGTATGACTTTGCAGATGTCATTAAAATTGAGCCTTCCCATGACTTCATTCACTCCTCTTTCCCGTATGAATTCTTTGATGTTTACTAAGGTGTGAGCCACGAATAAAGGCCTTCCCACATTGCTTACATTTGTAAGGTTTCTCACCAGTATGAATTTTCAGGTGTCGATTAAGTTCTGAGCCACGACCAAAGGCCTTCTCGCATTCCTTACACTTATAGGGCTTTTCACCACTATGACTTCTCTCGTGATGAGTAAGTTCTGACTTTCGAATAAAAGCCTTTCCACATTCCTTACATTTATGGGGTCTCTCACCAGTGTGAACTTTTTGATGTCGAATAAGTTCTGTGCTACAAGTAAAGGCCATTTTACATTCCTTACATTTATAGGGTTTCTCTCCAGTGTGAGCTCTCTGATGTCGAGTAAGTTCTGAGCCACGACGAAAGGCCTTTCCACATTCCTTACATTTATATGGTTTCTCACCAGTATGAACACTCTGATGTCGAATAAGATGTGAATCAGAGATAAACGCTTTCCCACATTCCTTACATTTATGAGGTTTCTCACCAGTATGAATTCTTTGATGTAGACTCAGTTGTGAGGCACAACTATATACCTTTCCACATTCCTTACATTCATAGCGTCTTTCACCAGTATGAATTATCTGATGAAGACTAAGCTGCGTGTCGTAACGGAATGCTTTCCCACATTCCTTACATTTATGGGGTTTCTCACCGGTATGGATTCTCTGATGTCGAAGAAGATGTGAGGGACGGGTAAAGGCTTTCCCACATTCCTTACATTCATAGTATTTCTCATCAGTATGAATTCTCTGATGTAAATTAAGTTGTGAGGTAGATGGAAAGGCCTTCCCACACTCCTTACATTTATAGGGTTTCTCACCGATGTGGATCTTTTGATGTTTACGGAGTTGTGAGTTAGAATGAAAGGCTTTCCCACATTCCTTACATTTATGAGGTTTCTCACTAGTGTTAATGCTCTGAGGTTTAGTAGTTTCAGAGCCACGGATAGAGGCACATTTCTTATTTTCTTTACTTTTTTTGCTTTCATGAATTCTCTGATGCTGAATCAAGTCTGACCTATTATTAAAGGCTTTCCCACATTCTCCACATTTAGAGTCTTTTTCCTTATTATGACTTCTTTCATGTTGAATATGGTGTGACTGGCACCTGAAAGCTTCCTTACATCCCTTGCATTCATAGGTTTTCGCTCTGGTATGAACTATGCACTGAATGGAAGCAGACCTTTCTTCAGAGGTTATTACGGCTTGTCTGAAATGCCCCTCCTGTTGTCTCTCCAAGTGGCATCTGATTTCTCTGTTATTTCTGACCCTAGTGCACTCAAGGTCAGAGCTCGTAAGTCTTTTTATCTCCAGGTGCAATGATTTAATTTCGTAACTGTGCTCCTTTGGAAATAAATTCTTGGTTACTCTTCTGGACTCCCAATCTGTAAGATAACAAGAAAGAAAATAGAAGGTATTTTCATGTGGCAGGAGAAAGGAAAGTTCTAAGGAAGAAATGACAAACTAAAAATAGTGAATAATTTAATAGCTCTTAACATAGCATGGAAATTTGGGGAAAAAAAAAATAAAACCCGGGGTCAGGGGAGGAGATGAGAATAGAGAAAATGAGGGGAGCTTGTGAAGGAAGTTGTTCTTCACCTCTGGTGAAAATCAGAATCAGCTGAGGAACGGTACAAATACGATGTCCAGGAACCACCTAAGACCAACTAAATGAGAAACTAAAAGAGTAGGACATTACATCTAATAGCAAGTCCTCTCATCTCTAGCTTCAAAATATATGAGATCTTGACTACTTCTATCTACCAGTATCTCTACCACTTTGCCCAAAGCCATCTCTCACCAAGGTTAACACACTTTCTTAACAGGTCTCCCTGCTTTCCCTGTTGCCCTCCTAATATCCCATTCCTAACACAGTAGCCAGAGTGTTCTTGTTAAGTAAGTGAAATTAGGCCTTTCTTCTGCCTCAAAGTCTCCACTGGATTTCCCTCTTGCGCAGAGTAAAAGTCCAAGTCCTTATGCGGTCTACAAAACCCTCCCTGACCTGTCTCATGCTACCCTCTTTCTGACCTCATTGCCGATCTCCTCTCTTCAGCTGACTCTGCTCCAGCTCCCTGACCAACTGGATGTTCTTCAAACTTGTGAAGCACATTCCTCCTTCAGAATCTCTGCCTGCAAATATCTTCCCTAAGAATATGGCTTCTTCGAGTACTTCATTCTGACCGCTACTCAAACATGAGACCACTCTTTACAAAACAGGCCCCTCTTACTCTACCTACTGTATTTTTTTGCAGTGCACTTATCATCACATATCATTTTATCTATTTCCCCAACATTATTATGAGAACTTTCAAGATACAGAAAAATAAAAAGAATTGAGACAGTGAATTCCCATATTCCCACTACCTAGATTCTATAATAAACATTTGGCTCTTCTTGCCTTATCACCTTTCTCTCTCTCCATCCATCCATCTTGCAGACATCAGTATACTTCACCTCTAAACTCCACAGATATTATACTTTAACTTGTTTACTTCTGTATTGTCTGTCTGCCCTTCAGTGTATCTGTACAGAGTAAATACTATTTGATGAATGAATGGCTATTGGCATTTTTGTTCAACTCTCTCAGTGATTCAAAGGCAACTCAAGGTGTGGGAGTCACTGTTTAAATACAGTACATCCAGGGGCGCCTGGGTGGCTCAGTTGGTTGGGCGACTGCCTTCGGCTCAGGTCATGATCCTGGAGTCCCGGGATCGAGTCCCGCATCGGGCTCCCTGCTCGGCGGGGAGTCTGCTTCTCCCTCTGACCTTCTTCCCTCTCATGCTCTCTCTCTACCATTCTCTCTCTATAAATAAATAAAAATTTAAAAAAATAAATAAATAAATAAATAAATAAATACAGTACATCCCATCTGTGCTTATAATAAAATACAACATTCCTTACTAGACCTGCAAAACTGTGCACTGTTTGGACCCTGCTTCCCTAATTCACCTTCATTTTAAGATGCTCTCACCTTCACTCACTAGGTACCTCTCTAGTGGCCTCCAGTGGACTCCTAGATCAAGCCAATTACGATCTCATCTTAGACTCTTTTAGGAAATGCTTTGTTTGCCATGAATGCTCTGCTCCAGAATTGCTGCATGCCCAGTTTCTTTCATTGTGAGTATCTTAATTTTCTGTCAAGTACCCTGTTTTTTTGCCTTCATAATCTTTTTCTTAATTCTGGAATTACACATTTGTTCAGCAGTTTATCTACTGGTATAATTTCTCCCAAAGTGGCCCAGAACTAGCATAATACTTATTTTCACTCACCATGATATAACCAATCCCCAGCACATAGTTCAATTAACAAGCCAGCACCACTAGGGTGTCTCTATACATGTGTTATACCAGTCCCCTCGAAGATTGATAGCTTTACACAACCATGAAAATCTTTTATGTAATTCTGAAAAAATTCTAATGGAAACTAAGAATACCAAGGCAACCATTTATGAGAGGTTGTATGGTGTTGTGACAAAGAACACAGAGCCACACTGCTTGGGTGTGAATCCTAGTCCCATGACTTGCTAGTTGTATGACACTGGACAGTTACTTAACTACTCAGAAATCAAGAAGGCTGAGATAAAAGGAGATGCTCCGTGTAAGCTGTCAGAGCTTGTGCAGGCACCTGCTGTTTAGGATAGTCCCTTTGTTCTTGCTAAGGTCCAGGGTGGTTGGACCAGCCAAAAGCAAGTTGCAGAAGAGACAAACAGTTGGGAAATCTAGAGAGATGAATAAACCTAGAACAACTGGTAAGAAGAAAAGATTCTTCTGTGATTAATGTATGATCTATATCTGCAATCTAATGAAAATGCAACACTACACAGTTGTCCTTCAGAGTAGGGCACTAAAAGCAAGGTCTGTATGATGACTGGTAACATGATGTTGGCATTTTATGCTGTATGGGAAGTTCCAGATGTCAGATGTCAGAAGATGCTGTTATTTTAAATACTTTGGAAAAAAAAAAACTATCTGTTAGAGAAGGAAAACTGTAAAAAGCATGGATTCGAATAATAAATTTGGACCTTAAAGGAATGCTCGGATTAAAAAGTAACATCCATCAAGGATGCTCCCATTGCTCCTCTCCTGCACAATCACTCCTCAGAGCTACAGAATCATTCCCCTAGATCGATCTTCAGTCTCTCTGATGTCCGTATTCTGTGGTCTCATTCTAGCACAAGGCCAAATCACCTGGACTTCCCAAACAGGCTCCTAGCAAGTTTCACCATTTTCACTCAGGAATCTGATTCAATCTCTACAGGAAGCCAGAGAGAGGTCTTAGAAATCCAATCCACTCATGTTCCTATCTTGTTTAAAACCTTCAGTGGCTGCCAAGTGTCCTTAAGAAAAAAAATCCAAACTCCTAGATTTGGTGAGAAGGCCCTGCATGACGTGGACCTCCATTCAGGTCTTCTAGGACACCCACTCATGACTTTCTCTCCTTGGGGCCTTAAATGAGTAAGTTCCTCCACCTTCTACAGCATTCCAACCATACTGCCTAGATCGTACTACCTCTCCTTCCAGCTTCACATCATTTGTCATGATCTGAAAAGTCTTACCAGTCTGGTAATATTGCCCCTAATATTCTCTCACAGCAGTCCCTTACCTATAACCATCTCCCCTAAAAAGACCCTCATTTCTCTGGCCATTGTACAGGACAGGTTTCTCAAAAAGAAAACTTGCAGGGTTATCAGTGATTAGGGATTTAAATCAGCCCTTAAATCAGCATACTTCCTAACCCTAGCTACTTCCTAGGTTATTCATTGTTACCTTTTATTTCCTTCCAGTGTTTTGTAGCATCCTTTTTATACCACCAAAACAGAACTGACTCTGAAAGTTCTGTATCTGGCTTTATTCAACTAAGCATTATAGCATGTTTCAAAAATATTTTATAAAAAATATCTAAAATGCTGAAGGTTCTGTATCCCAATTGTGGTAGTAGTTATATAAATCTACAAATGCTGTAAAATTTCGTAGTAATATACACCAAAAAATAAAAAAATAAAAAAAATAAATGCGTGTATATGAAAATCGGTGAAATCTGAAAAAGGTCTACTTATAGTTTCATTACTAGTATTGTGCCAATTTCCCGGTTTTGACAGTGTACTAGGATTAGGTAAGATGTTATCATTAGGGAAAGCTGAGCGAAGGGTACAAGGGAACTCTCTGTATTATTTTTGTAACTCCTCTGAATCTTAAATTATTTCAAAATAAAAAGCTAAAAAGAAATGGTAACAGTTATAAGCATGTATATACCTAATAAGAGAGCCCCAAAGTACATGAAGCAAAAACAGAATTGCACAAAAAACAGACGATTCAACAAATTGAAGACTTTAATGCTCTACTTTCAATAACGGATAGAGAAGATCAACAAGGAAACAGAAAACATGCTCTTAAATAACTGATGGGTCAAGGGAGAAATTAGAAAATGCTTAGAAAAGGAAAACTTAATATACCAACACTTATGGGTTATAGTTAAAAAAGATCCTAAAGGGAAATTTACAGCTTAAAATGCCTATATTAAACAAAAACAAAACCCCAAAACCCAAGAAAGATCTCAAATCAGATTATGGAACTAGATAAAGAACAAAGTAAACCCAAAGATACCAGAATGAAGAAAATAATAAAGATTAGAGGGTAGATGAACAAAATAGAAAGAACAGGGAAATCAACATAATTCTAAGTTGGTTCTTTGAAAAAGATCAACTGTCAAACCTTTAGCTAGACTGACCGAGAGAAAAAAAAGAAAGAAGACAAATACTGGTATCAAGAATGAAAGAGAGAGATCACTACCTATCTTACAGAAATAAAAGTCTAGGGCTGGGGGTAGAAATGACTGCTTATGGGTATGGGGTTTCATTTTGGGGTGATAAAAAGGTTCTAAAGTTAGATTGTTGTCACAGTTGCAAAACTCTGTGACTGTGTTAAAAACCACTGAACAGTATACTTTAAGTAAATTTTATTTTATTTTTTTAAGTGAATTTTAGAATATGTGATTTCTGTCTCAAAAGAGCTAGCTGCTTTAAAAAGTCAGGACAAAACTGGACACAAAGTACAGGGAAAATTGTCTCATGGGAAGGAGGAAGGCACTTCCTTCCTGAAATCAGAAGCAAATATGAGGAAAGGTAGCAAGAGTGGTAAGTGGAGTGAAAATTTGAGGCCTCATGCTGAAACATCCTTCCTTTTTTCTCCAGATCTCAGACCTTTTCAGCAAGCTTTCCTACCAATAGCTCAGATGTGCTGCCTTCTCACTGGCCCCCTGGGTGACCACCTGCCATAGTGTTCCTCATAGTAGTCACCATCACTTACCTGGGCACCATTCTTTTGTTTCCTGACTCTTAACCATCCAGGGCTCCTTCCCCTGCTCCAATAAAGAGATCACATCTGGCTTAGAATCAGAAAGTCCTGCTCAAAAAACAGAAAGGACAAAGTTATGTTGTATGTGTATCAGAATTGAAATTAGCCCATGATTATCAAGAAAGAGTAAGCAGGTTAAGGGTCAGTGGAAGGGGTGAAGGTCAGAGGAACGAAAAAAAAAAAAAAGTCCAATGGAGCAGCCAATTCTAACTTTGTAAGGGACAGTCCCTTCTTTGGGAAGCAACAAGAATCATTCATTCAGCCAGGCATTTGAGAAGCACTCATGAGAAATTCATAACAAAGAACATAAAATTCCAGAAGGCCAATTCTGAATTTTGGGGGGCACATAACTTACCAAGTGAGATCAGGTTGTTATAATTCTCCAACATTACATCTTGGTACAAATCCTTCTGAGCAGAGTGCAAGCATTCCCACTCCTTTTGAGAGAAGTAAATGGCCACATCTTTGAACGTGAAGCCCTGAAACCACAGATCAATATGCTATTTGTGAAAATGATAGGCAAAATCTTTACAATGGAATAAAAAAAAAATGGAGAAAGCAATTTAGTAAGGTAACAGTGTTGAGAAAACAGGTTGTGCTGGGCCCTTTAACACGGATGGTGCAGTGTGGAAACAAAAGTGACCAGAGCACATACCATTCTTTTTTTTTTTTTAAAGATTTTATTTTTTTATTTGAGAGAGAGAGAATGAGAGAGAGAGAGCACATGAGAGGGGGGAGGGTCAGAGGGAGAAGCAGACTCCCCGCCAAGCAGGGAGCCTGATGCGGGACTCGATCCAGGGACTCCAGGATCATAACCTGAGCCGAAGGCAGTCGCTTAACCAACTGAGCCACCCAGGTGCCCAGCACCTACCATTCTTGGTGCATACATCATGCTTAGGCATGCCTGCAACTAGAGGAGTAACCTCTTGGGCTCTAAGCTCTTCCATTATCCCCAAAGTTCAGACAACTGGTGTTTCCCAATTAAATAAAACTATACATGCAAGCACATGGCACACTCTATGTTCACCATACAATGCCTATAACTATCTCCTTCCCATTCTCCCAATAAAGAAAAACTTCTTAAAACTCTGAATCTTATAAAATTTCTATTTCTGAAAATAGGATTTGAATATAACTTGATTTCTATGATGATTTATAACATGATTTAGTAATTTCTTAAAAACGCATGCTCATAAATATGCCAGAATACTAAAGCCCAATCACTTTTCCATGTGACCAAAAATTCTAAAATAGACATCATTTTTACTGGCTGTATGACAACCCATCTTCTATACTCAATGTTCTTATTTTGGGGTACTAGGTTGCACAAGTTCTCTAAAATTCTTTTGCAGTATGAGTCTTTTCTCAACAGTTTATACATCTGGCTATTATGTTCCTGTTCCTATAAATTGTCCCTCACTATACTCTCCTTGTTCCTGATCGGCCAGAACTGATGGGAGGAAGATCCAGACTCACACTGATGTGACCCAAGATGAACATACACAACAAAAGTGTGTGTCTCTCTAGGGGCGCCTGGGTGGCTCAGTCATTAAGCATCTGCCTTCGGCTCAGGTCATGATCCCAGGGTCCTGGGATCGAGCCCCACATCGGGCTCCCTGCTTGGTGGGAGGCCTGCTTCTCTCTCTTCCACTCCCCCTGCTTATGTTCCTGTTCTCGCTATCTCTGTCAAATAAATAAATAAAATCTTAAAAAAAAAGAAAAAAAAGTGTGTGTCCCTCTCCCTTTCTCACATACACACACAGTCTGTCTTTCTTGATTTGAGGGAGGGTAACGAAACTTTGCCAGCTCTGAACCCCAGAGAATCCAACTGTATATAATGGATTTAGAGGAAACAACTTTCCCAACTCATCTGAGCCCAGATGGGCCTGTTCTGACCTGGTCCAGGCAGATCCTTGTTCTACAACCTGGAACACACTGAGCTCCTCAGTCATGGAGTCATCCCCAAAACATGGTGAAGCCCCTAGGCCCAGGAGCACAGAATACTTGGGCAGGCCCAGCCCCGGACAACAGTTTCTGCAACAGAGGTCTCCAGCCTCTCTCTGGCCTAACAGACTTAGTGTATCAGGTACCTCCTTAGCTTTGTTCCCATATCCCAGAACCAGGGCCCTTAAAACCCCAAATGAAACCTCTTTCCACGAAGACCCTGTCCAGAACCACCACTACTGAGCCAGACAACCCACCAGGATCAGCAGGTCCTGAGTAGCCTTGGCAAAGCTCAACCATCTGGATGCAGGTTGCAATAGCTTTACAAGCCCCAATTCTCACAATCTTCATGGCCAACACATTCTGGTTCCCAATCTACATCATAAGTTCTCTAAACTTGGCTTTCCTGCCTGACATTATTCCCTCTTACTGTTACCCCTAGCCTTATTGCTGATAGTCAGTGTTCATGCATCTCAAGTACAATTATTGCAAAATAAGCACTTTAAGTTTCTGGTGACTTATATGTATGAATCCTCAGGAGAAGCCCATGAATCCTAATTCGAAGGAAACTTTAGCTCAAATAGGTGAAGTCATTTACTCAAATTTGCACTTAACAGTGGCATTGTTGGTTTGTTTTTTTTTTTTTAAGATTTTATTTATTTGAGGGCGCCTGGGTGGCTCAGTTGGTTAAGCGACTGCCTTCGGCTCAGGTCATGATCCTGGAGTCCCGGGATCGAGTCCCACATCAGGCTCCCTGCTCAGCGGGGAGTCTGCTTCTCCCTCTGACCCTCTTCCCTCTCGTGCTCTCTATCTCTCATTCTCTCTCTCTCAAATAAATAAATCTTAAAAAAAAAAAAAAAGATTTTATTTGACAGAGAAAGACACAGCAAGAGAGGGAACACAAGCAGGGTGAGTGGGAGAGGGAAAAGCAGGCTTCCCGTGGAGCAGGAAGCCTGATGCGGGGCTCGATCCCAGAACCCTGGGATCATGATCTGAGCTGAAGGCAGAAGTTTAATGACTGAGCCACCAGGTGCCCCCCACTTCTGGCTCTTAACAGAGATGCAGCCGGGGATTTCTGATGATCCTTTGAAAAAGTCCTATACTGGGCTCTCCATTTAGAGGAGAAAATGCTTGGTCTGCTTGGTGTGTCACTATAGAGCACAGCACTCTATGAGGAGAAATCAAAGGCAGAAGGGAAAGGGAGGAAAGAAGCAGTTCTGCAAACAAAATTCCTTTATCCAAAAATATCAAAATTCCCCATGACTCTGGCTCTGTGTGGGCACTTGGGGACATGATGATTTAGATCCAGCACCTGCCCTTAAAAAGCTCAGAATCAGGAAGGAAAAGCAGAAAAGTAGAGACAATCACAGGACATCAAACTCTGCAGGCGACTGGTTACCATGACCAAATCACCAGCTGAAAAATAATGTTCTGAATATTAAAAACATTTTGGGATGCAATGATGATCTGGAAAAGAAGGAAAGTAATCTTCAGAAGCTAAAACTGAGTCAAGCTGAGAACAAATAGGAGTGTCCTGAGCCAATGACATTTATTTTACCAGAGAACCTCTGCTCAGCCAAGATGACCATGAGCTTTGACATTCAGAGAATGAGGGTAGAGGAGACCAAGCTGAGAGCTGGTCAAAATGGGAGTCTAAGTGGTTCTGCACTTCAAAGACCTGGGACATCTAAGACCATACCCACAAAATAAAGAAAAAGTAGAAGCAACACTCCCATTCTCGGGTGCTACAAAGAAAATGGCCTGACTTGAATCTTGGCAACTGGTGGAAGAAATACATTTTCCCCTGAGGAACTATAACCACAAGCCAGCCCTCCCACAGGTCTGTGGCTCACATGCACATTATATAGGTCAATCTACAAAACTTTCCATCTATAAATCTACTTTAAGGTTGCTCTGGTTTGGCAGTGCTCTTGGCAGAAGCAAAACACTGACTTGGCCTAGAACAACCTTCAGCCAGGCCTCAAGAATCCATAAGAGAATTCCAAGGATAATGACCCAAATGTCAAAAATAATAAAACAGGGCATCCGGGTGGCTCAGTTGTTAAGTGTCTGCCTTCGGCTCAGGTCATGATCCCAGGGTCCTGGGATCGAGTCCCGCATCGGGCTCCCTGCTCGGCAGGAAGCCTGCTTCTCCCTCTCCCACTCCCCCTGCTTGTGTTCCTGCTCTCGCTATCTCTCTGTCAAATAAATAAAAAATCTTAAAAAAAAAATAATAAAACAGCACAACACTGTGAATATACTAAACACCACTAAATTGTACACTATACAATGTATGTTGTATGAACTAACTGTATGTTATGTGAATTTCACCTAAACAAAAAACTAAATAAAAATAAAACATGCACAGAGACATAATTCCAGGATCAGAGTGTCAGGAAAATCAATCATGCAATTGTTTCAAATTTCCATAATATTTTAAACTTTCCACAATAAAAATAAAATGTTAGGGGGAAAATGTCCTACCTGCAAAGATTCATTTATTACAAAGATAATGACAAAGAATATAAAACAGGTATACTACAAAAAGGAAGTAAGATGGTGAGAAACAAAACCATGACAGGTAGATTTTCTTTTTTAAAAGAATTTATTTATTTGTTAGAGAGAGAGAGCATGCACAAGCAGGGGGAATGGCAGACAGAGGGATAAGCAGGCTCCCCTCTGATCAGAGAGTTTGACATAGGACTCGATCGATCCCAAGACCCTGGGATCACAACTTGAGCTGAAGGCAGATGCTTAACCCACTGAGCCACCGAGGTGCCCCAAATGACAGGTAGATTTAAAAGGAAGAAGTTCTTCTAGAACAAAAAAACCCTAATATTTGAAAATAAGTCATACAATGGCTCCAATAAATATTTCTGGAGAAAAATTACTGGACTACAGATATAAAAAGAGATTATGCAGAATGCTATCAAAAAGGACAACATGGGAAAGTATAAGAGAGGGCAAGAAGATAAAGTGAGGTTTAACAGATACCTAACCAGAGTTCTGGAAGGAAAAAGAAGAACTGAGAAAAGGCAGTAACTGAAGACCAAATGGGGGTACCTGGCTGGCTCAGTCGGTAGAGCATGTGACTCGTGATCTTGGGGTCATGAGTTCAAGTCCCATGTTGGGCATAGAGCTTGCTTATAAAAAAAAAAATAATAATAAATAAATAAAAAGACCTAATGGCTAAGAAATTTTCAAAACTAGCAAAAGAAAGCATTATTTAGAAGCCCAATGAGTCTCAAGGAAAATAAATAAAAAGAAACCCTAGACAATTATATCAAAACTGCAGAGCACTAAAAACAAAGAGAAAATGTTAGAAGCAATTTGAGATTAAAGACAGATTATCTACACAGAAACACCAGTCTGATTGGCAGATGGTTATTCAATAGCAACAATATAAACCAGAAGAGAGCAGAGATAGTCTGCTGGGAGAAAATTATCTTTCACAAATGGGGGCAAATCAAGACATTTTCAAAAAACCCAAAACCAAAACCCCCGGACACTCATTAAAGTATGTACTTCCATCTAAAGGAAAGTGATCTCAAGGTAGAAGGTTTAAAATACAAGAAAAATGAACAAAGAAATTGGTAAATATGTGGATAACTAAGCTAACATCAAAATACATAAAATAAAAATCTTTTATGGGTTAAAAAAGGGTAGAATGAAAACATCTGACAACAATATTAGTTTAATCAGTTAGATTATCCTAGTTTCTTATACTGTTCAACAAGAACATAAAGATGTTCTTTAGTTTAGGACACTGGTAAGTTAAAATATGTTAAAATTTCTAAGGTAACCACTAAATAAATGAAACTAATTTATAACTTTCAAACTCACAGAGGGGTGAAATGGTTGAATACAAAGCACAAACTAAGCCAATAATGATATATCAGCAATTTTTTAAAAAAAGACTTTATTTTTAAGTAATTTATTTATATTTATTTTCAATTATATCAGCAATTTTTTAAAAAAGACTTTATTTTTAAGTAATTTCTACACCCAACATGGGGCTTGAACTTCAAACCTTGAGATCAAGAGTCACACACTCCACTGACTGAGCCAGCCAGGTGCCCCTATATCAACAATTAGTATTAATGGTCCAAATAATCTCATTAAAAGATAAAGGTCAGAAACCAAAGCCCAGATATATGCTGTTTGTAAGAAACACATCCAAAACATAAATATCCAGAAAGACTGGAGGTAAAAGGTGAAAATATAACTTGTGTACATCCCTAATAAAAAATATATATAGACACACACACACATAAATTAAATAAAGAACAAAATTATGACAAATCCTCATCATTATGAGAGAACACATCACTTGAAATAATTGATAGACGCAACAGAAAATCAGTAAACATAGAAATTATTTAAATTACAAACAAAATTAGCAAGCTTGATTTAATGGCCACATACAGAATAATGCACCCAATTCAAATAACATTCTTCTCAACCGTATCTGGAGGATTCAGAAAACCTGATCACTTTGGGTCTTAACACAAGACAATCATTTTGCATAAACTCATACTAATAAGAAGATGCACATTAACAGGATTGCCTGGGGGTGGGGTGGCAAATGGAATGGAAAAGTCTTGGATGACAGGTCATCCCTGGCAGGACTAAACGCATCCTTACTTACCACTCTATTCCAATGCTAGGATTGGTGCTCCAGTAAATATAGAATGTGCTTTATAGTAAATGTATAATGAACATAAAAGAGTTGGAGCTTTGTCCTGAAAGTAACAGGGATTCACTCAATAAAGGAAGTGACGTGACTGGACTATTTTACTGGCAAGGAGTAAAAGAGCCAGGGAGCCCAATTAGAGGACAATGCACTACCCACCCCTACACAAAGGTCTGATCTGGCCTGCAGACAGTGGAGTGAGGTCATAAGGCATGGGATCAGCGAATAGGAAAGGGACAGAAGCAATGGGATTGAGACAGGAGGTGGGAGTTGGGGGAACTCCAGGTTGCCAGTTTAACCACACATTCAGGTGAATTTCCATCACTGTCACATTCTCCAAACCTTGTATAATGACCACATTATATAGAGGAAGTTATGAAGAAGCCCATGGTCACATAGCAAAAATAGGGTGAGACTCTACCATTTTTTTTAACAGTGCATAGCTTTTCATTAAGACAAAGAATGGGGGCCGCTCAGGTGGCTCAGTAGGTTAAGCAGCTGCCTTCGGCTCAGGTCACGATCCCAGGGTCCTGGGATGGAGCCCCACATCGGGCTCCCTGCTCTGCGGGGAACTGCTTCTCCCTCTCCCTCTGCCTGCCTCTCCCCCTGCTTGTGCTCACCCTCTCTCTCTGTGAAATAAAATCTTAAAAAAAAGAGAGAAAGGGCAATCCACCTCTCTGAGGAGAGGAGGAAACAGAGGGAGAAATGGACAATTGTCAAGGGTTTAGGGCAAGGGAAGCTGAAGTTTCTTCTTTATCAAAATGTGCTAAGAATGGATGCGGAGGGCGTAGTTTTTCCTCTGAGAATCTGAGGAAGGTTCTGGCCAGGATGGGAATGGGAAAACAGACTCAATAAGTTCTCATAGAATTCAAAAGAAAAGTCAGAGAAAGAAAGAAACAGATTAATTCAAAATACAAAGAGTATTTTATTAGTCTTTCGAGAGAAAGGAACCCTTGAGAACTGGCCAGAATTAATGAAGAGCCACACTCAGACACATCCAAGGAAAACACCCTGAACATACTACAAATATTATGCCATTCTTTAAAATTGACTACTCCAAAGTCACAGAAAAGAAAAATCTAAATAAACACCCCAAATCAGGAATTTTACAGCCAACACTTGCTGGTCATATCTCACACCAGATGCTTAAAGATTGAACCATTTGGGCAAAAGACAAAGTACTTTAGGAAAATGTGAATGACTTTTTTTTTTTAAGATTTTATGTATTTGTTTATTTATTTAGAGAGTGCGAACTGGGAGGGGGACAGAGAGAAAGGGAGAGAGAGAATCTCAAGCAGACTCCATGCTAAGCGCGGAGCCCAACACAGGGCTCAATCCCACAACTCTGAGATCACGAGCTGAGCTGAAATCAAGAGTCAGGCGCTTAACTGACTGAGCCATCCAGGAACCCCTGAATGACTTTTCTATATTTGTAGTAGGGAAGGCCATGACATAAAGGAAGAAAACATTTTTTGAAAACTCTGAATCTAAAACACATACAAAATAGATTAACTGTGAAAAAATATTTTAAAACAACTTATAAATGACAGAGAATATGCTTAACATTTAAACTTGCTCAACATAAACCAAAAAAGATAACACTCTTTGACAAGTAGGCAAAGTTGAGGGATCCCAGTTGTACTACTTGTTAACTGTGTAAGTTTGGAGTGACTTAATAGAATCTATGTCCTCATCTGTCAACTTAAAATAATACCAAATTTCATCAATTCTGAGGTACCACTGATTGTAAAGCCACCATTACTTTATACACCAGAAAAAAATGCCATCAATGAAAACTATGACTTGCCAGGAATTGTAAAACGAGTCCTGATTTCAGAGAATTTCAAGTGTGAAGGAAAAAAAAATGAGTAACAGAATTGAAGAAATAGTCCTACCTGTCTCACAGGGTTATTAATGTGGATTCAACAAGATAACACATGTAAAGAACTTGAAACCACAAGTAGCTTAAAGTAAACACAAGTTGGGTACTTTTTTTTAATTTAATTTAATTTATTTATTTGACAGAGAAAGAGATAGCCAGAGCAGGAACACAAGCAGGGGGAGTGGGAGAGGGAGAAGCAGGCTTCCCGCCGAGCATGGAGCCTGATGTGGGGCTCGATCCCAGAACCCTGGAATCATGACCTGAGCCGAAGGCAGACGCTTAATGACTGAGCCACCCAGGTGCCCCAAGTCAGTTGCTTCTATCAGTAACATGATCCCACTCTGAAAACAAAATTACATACCTACACATACGCACAGACAAAATCTGAAATTAATCGTGACTATCTCTAAATGGTGGGACCAAGGATGACAAACTTTCTTAATCAGCTTTCTCAAGTTTTGAAATTTTTGCAAGAATCCTATATTACTTTAGTCATTAAAAAGAGAGCAATTAGGGCGCCTGGGTGGCTCAGTCGTTAAGCGTCTGCCTTCGGCTCAGGTCGGGCTCCCTGCTTGGCGGGAAGCCTGCTTCTCCTTCTCCCACTTCCCCTGCTTGTGTTCCCTCTCTCGCTGTCTCTCTGTTGAAAAATAAATACAATCTTTTTAAAAAAGAGAGCAATTAGGTTATTTCTATCTTGGGGAAAAAAGTATGTAGAGCTAACCTGGGCAGGCAGGCCTTCCAGGCTGTTAGAAATTTGGAAGCAGGGGCGCCAGGGTGGCTCAGTTGATTAAGTGGCTGCCTTCGGCTCGGGTCATGATGCTGGAGTCCTGGGATCGAGTCCTGGGATGGAGTCCCACATCGGGCTCCCTGATCAGCGGGGAGCCTGCTTCTCCCTCTGACCCTCCCCCCTCTCTCTCTTTCTCGCTCTCTCAAATAAATAAATAATCTTAAAAAAGAAAGAAATTTGGAAGCAAACAGGCTACTGCATGTGACTGTGAAGCGGACCACAAAGAAATTAGTGAGACTGAAGCAAATAACCTCATTCTGTTCTTTAACTTCCCTGCCAAATCAGTGAGGCACATCTGTCACAACTATTCTGGGAATGAATAAAATCCAGGGAAATGGAAATTCTAGATTGATGAGACAATGTATGTAAAGCAGACAGCCTGGTTTATTTTTATTTATTTATTTTAAGATTTTATTTATTTATCTGACAGAGAGAGAGACAGCGAGAGAGGGAACACAAGCAGTGGGAGAGGGAGAAGCAGGCTTCCCGTGGAGCAGGGAGCTCGATACAGGGCATGATCCCAGGACCCTGGGATCATGACCTGAGCCAAAGGCAGACGCTTAACGACTGAGCCACCCAGGCGTCCCCAGACAGCCCTGGTTTAGACTCCTGTCTGGTTTAGGAAAACTGCTCCATAAATTTGGTTTCCTTCTCTCTTACCTTTTTTCAAATCACTATTGTTAATCTTTTGGATAGAATCCTGAAACAAGATACTGTTTTGAAAACCAGGAAGCCCCTTCCAAGAAAAGAGTGCCAAATACAACTTACCTCCGCCATGACTTTTGATGTACAGTGGCTTTTCTCTCCTTTTCTGGATTCTTAGAGAATGAAAAAGATGGAAAAGGGTTAAGAAACTGTAAGACAACAGACCCTTCCGGGAGCTCAGACGAGGCCAAGTCAGAGTAAACCCTGTAAGCCTGTAACCCCACCCCCACTCCTATCATCACACAAAGCAGGCGACCTTAGGGGCCCAGATGGGAGTCCTGGGAGAGAACTCCAGACTGTGGCCTCCTTCCTCCATAGGAGCCTGACTGGGTTCTTCCAGGCCCTGTATCTTAACACTGAGCCCAGATAAAACACAACCTACGTGGATCCATCAGTCAAAATCCCACACTCCTGTCCTCTAAAACTGGGGGCACCGCTATGGGCCTGGATCCCCTGAGCTCTCAGCACAGGGAAGTGGAGGGAGGGTCTCCCGGGCCCAAGGTCTAGAAAAGCCCGGGACACGAGAAACAGCCCCTGGGAGGCGGCCATTCACCCTGCTGAAGAGCTAGTGGCGATTTCGGTTGGCGGTTTCGGCTGGGATCCAGAATCCAATGGGGGCTAGAAAGGCTCGAAACGCAGGCGGGGTCTGAGATTGCCCCAGAACCCACCCACTCGCTGACCCCACTCAACGTTGACCAAGAAGGTACAAAGGGAGGTGACTTTCCAGTTCTAGCTCCAAAGGCAGAGTCGGCGACGCGGCCGGCTACATGGGGCTCTAACACTGGTCCGTAAAGAGCCTCTCTCAGTCTACTAACCACAGCCCCACCAGCACCGGTCGCCGAGCAATGGAGGTCGGGCGCACAATCCCCGTCCGGGGAGTATCGCACGGACATTCTGTCCAGGCAGGGCACACAGCAGAGACACCTCGGACCTCCAGACACTGCCAGCCAGCTCCAGAGACAGCATGAAACCACTCGCCCACCCCGTGCCAGGTGCATGGCTGATACCTCCCTCCCCCGAGTCAAGAGTAGAAGCCTCGACATTCCCCAACCTCCCCGACGTCCTTTACTTTTCGAGCGCGAGGACGCAGCCTAGAAATGCCCGACAGCCACCCATAAGTAAGACTCCAGACAGACCCCGGCCCCGCCCCGGAGCTCCTCACCGTGCACTTCTCCCGGGTCCTCACACTCGAGTCTGGTCGAATTCGCCCGGAACCAGTGAGTCAGGCGGCCCGCAACGCCCCGACCCCTTGCGACCGAACTCCCGCCAACTCACCACCGGCCAGCCAACTTCGGCCGGAAGTAGCAAATACCGCAGAGCCCTCAGGAAAATGTAGTCCCGGGGAGGAAAACTCTAACCAGAGCCTGGCCGGTACAAGTCTTCGCTCAGTGTCGCGTCGTGTTCCTGGCCTTCAGTGAAGGCCAGTACTGACAGCCCAATCTCGCCTGAGCATCCTCTGCGGATCTGGGCGAACCGACAGGTCCAAGCAGCAAGAATTGGCCGCTGAGGCGTTAAAAAAAAAAAAAAAAAAAGTGTGGACCGTGGAGGCTTCTGGGAAATGTAGCCCACAGCGGAGGAAAGGGTGGGCTGGTCCGCCCCCAGCGCAACCCGAGTTCTCTAAATTAACCCGTGTGCAACAGTCCTCGCTGCACACTACGAAATGCCCAGAGGCTTCTAGCAACCGTAGTTAAAAGCCGGGAAGCAGACAGTTCAGAGTCCTCTCCAGGAGGAGCCGCGCTCTGAGAGCGGGATCAGGAGCGAACTACTGGCCGCTACACCATGAACTAGGAGTCCTCCCGGACCTGGGCTGTTCAGCCAGCCCCACGATCCTTCCTGGGGGAGTTGGGTGCTCAAGTTTCGGCTGAGAATTCATTCCCCAGTCCCGGCGCCCCCAGAAAGCGCAGTACTCCCTTAGTCGTTACTGCCGCTGAGCAGCAGCCCGGCGTCCCGACTTTTCAACCCAATTCGGGCGGGGCCACAGGGACGCCAGGTAAGGGCCCATCCTGGAGGCGTTTGGGAAATGTAGTCTCAGCCTAACGGACTGGGAATGTGGCAGAGGAGAACCTGAAGGAAGGGTGGCAGTCTTGAGCTCAGGAAGCAGGGGTCTGAGAAGGCCACGGGTAAGGTGAAGGAGGATAAGCCTAGGTCCCGAATAGAAATCACGGAATACCAATACTGAACTCTATATGCCATGCATTAGTGTTTCCAAACTTTTTCTAAGTACATAAATACAGATAGGAATGCACTTGGGTCATAAGATCTTTGGAAAGTTACACTAACATTTGTTAACAGTAGTTAATTGCTAGAATGTGTAATTGTGATTTTTTTCCCTTACTTTAAGAGTATTCCCTTATATTGGGGCCATTATCATGTCCTTATGAAACATTACTCAGTTTTGTTAAAGAAAAAATAAGTAGGGTGCCTGGGTGGCTCAGTTGGTTAAGCGACTGCTTTCGGCTCAGGTCATGATCCTGGAGTCCTGGATCGAGTCCCACATCGGGCTCCCCGCTCAGCGGGGAGTCTGCTTCTCCCTCTGACCCTCTTCCCTCTCATGCTCTCATTCTGTCTCTCTCAAATAAATAAATAAAATCTTTTTAAAAAAGTATAAAAAGTATAGACTCTGAAATTGATGAACCAGAAAACAAAGTGGGCCAGATTTTTTAAATAGCACAGTTTGGTTCTAAAAGATAAATGAGGGGCGCCTGGGTGGCTCAGTTATGTCTGCCTTGGGCTCAGGTCATGATCCCAGGGTCCTGGGATCCAGCCCCACTCGGGGGCTCCCTGCTCAAAGGGGAGCCTGTTTCTCCCTCTCCCTCTACTTGCTGCTCCCCCTGCTTGTGCTCTCTCTCTGTCAAATAAATAAATGCAATCTTAAAAAAAAGATAAATGAAACACAATATTCATAAACAATAAAAAAACAAAAATTAAAACAAGAACATTAGAAATGGGAAAGGTTAAACCATGAACAGAATTTAAAAGAATTTTGAGGCTGTTAGGAGCAACTCCATAACCACAGTAGAGGTAATTTAGATTTTCCAGTAAAACTGAAATTACTATTTTCTACTAAGAAGTAGAAAACCTGAACAGAATAGCTATAATAAAATTTAAATATATCTTTAAAACTACTGTTAGAAAGATCACCAGATAGTTATTTTTAGCTACTTTTTGATTAATTTTTTAGTTTATTCAGATCCTGGGAAAAGATGGAGTGCTTTTTTATTTTTTTAAGATTTTATTTATTTATTTATTTTAGGGACAGCGAGAATGTGAGTTGGGGGAGGGGCAGAGGAAGAGAAAGAGAGAATCCCAAGCAGGCTCTGCACTGCTGGGCCCAATGCCAGGCTTGATCCCAGGACCCTGAGATCATGACCTGAGCCAAAATCAAGAGTCGGTTGCTGAACCAGCTGAGCCACCCAGGTGCCCCAAGATGGAATGTTTTCTAATTAATTTTGTCTAACTGGCAAAAATCTGATAAAGATAGGCCAAAAGAAAAGTACTGATTAGTTTCATTTGGATTAAAAGATAAACTGAGTTACCCTAAAATTTTCAAGAATTTATTTGAGCATACATCGACTTGAATCAGGCAGCATCAAACTGAAAGTGATAGGAGCACCCCACCAACAGGAGCTAATGGAGAGGTTTTTATAGAGAAGACCCTGAGGCAAAGCAAGGAAATTATTTGATTAGCTATAACTTAAGCAGTTTGCCTTGTATGGCAAAGCTAAGGTGGCTTTTTGTTATTAATTGTTCTTAAGTTTTATTTTCTCTGATTGGGGTGCATTGATTTTGGGTTAGGTTTTGGTTTGCTTTGATAGGCTACCAATACATTAGAACTATTTCAGTCTAAGGGCATCCTTGTTTAATTACTTTAATATTTGTGATTATAGATGCAAAAATTCCAAATAAAAGGCTGATATCAACATGTCCTATAAAATTTGTACAGCGATTATGTCAACAGATAATGTTGGAAGAACATTAAAAACATACAAAATGTATTGTATGAACAAATTAAAGGAGAAAAAATATACATATCAATTGATGCCAATTAGATAATGTGGTAGACAGAATAATGTTCCCACTCAAGATGTCCAAGTCCTAATCCCCAGAACCTGTGAATGACTATGTTATCTTACATGGCAACAGAGACTTTGCAGATACACTTAAATTAAGAGTTTTTGGTGAAATGAGAAAGTTATTCTATATTATCTGAGTAGATCCAGTATAATCGCAAGGCTCCTTAGAGAAGAAGGCAGGAGCATCAGAGCCAGAAAAGAACTGTGAAGACAGAAGGAAAACTTGGAATGATGTGCAATGAGTAAAGGACCATGAGCAAAGGAATACAGGCAGCTTCTAGAAGCTGGAAAAGGCAAGGAAATAGATTCTCCCCTAGAACCTATAGAAGAAATGCAGCTCTGCCAACAATTTGATTTTAGCCCATCAGATCCATTTCAGAGTTCTGACCCCAATCTCTGGGTGAAGAAATCTTCCTTCCCTCAGAGCAGGAGGATGGACTGACATGTCAGTCATCAGAAAGCCATGTTCTTGATAAATTAGTCCATCTGCCTTCCTGAGATACACCCCCTTCTGCCCCAACCAGGATATTCTGCATTCCTTCTCCTGAAACTTCTTTTAGAGAAACAGGTTGAGGAACTGGTTCCCTAGTTCTCCTGTGTTAGTGGGGTCTTTGGATACATCCACAAGCAGCTCAGTGCCTTCCCACATTTATTTCTCCCATATGATAGAGTGCAGTCACCTAATAGACACATTGTCTTCAACTGTTTATTTTGAAATTTTTCAAATTTCTAGAAGCATTGAAAGAATAGTACAAAGGATTCTTAAACATGCCTATCCCCTGGATTCACCAATTGTTGACAACTTACCACTTTTGATAATCTCTCTCTCTCTCTTACCATTTGAAAATAGATTCAAGTATCATGATACTTCACTACTAAATATGTCAGGGGGGTGGGGGGATGGGTTAGCCTGGTGATGGGTATTAAAGAGGGCACATTCTGCGTGGAGCACTGGGTGTTATGCACAAACAATGAATCATGGAACGCTACATCAAAAACTAATGATGTAATGTATGGTGATTAACATAACAATAAAAATTAAAAAAAAAATAAATATGTCAGCATATATCTCCCAAAAATAAGGGCATTTTCTTCCCACATATCACTAAACACCATATCTCACATATATTTCACTATGTACCACAAAACACAGTGTTTCACACTTACACCATTAGACACAGTAGTACATTCCATGTAACTCTCTGTGATCAGACCCAAGGAAATGATTAATTCCATAATTCATTCATATTCAAATTTCCCTCAAATGTCCCCAAATGTCTTGTGTAGGTTTTTAAATAGGACACAAAGCATTGCATTTAATGTTATGTCTCTAGTCTCTTAATCTAGAACAGTCCCTCCATTTTTTTGTTTTCTCCAGACATTGATTTTTTTTTTTTAAGAATCTAGGTTATTTGTTCTATAGAATGTCTTATATTCTGGATTGTCTAGTTATTTCCTTATGGTAAAAATCCAGATAAAACACGTTTGGTAAGGATACTACACAGACAATGTTGTGTCCTCTTGCTGTATCACATCGGGGAAACATGAGGTTATGTCATTTCACTATTAGTGATGTTAAATTTGATCATTTGGTTAAGGTTGTAATGGCCAGATATCTCCATTGTAAAGTTATATTTTTTTCCTTTCTAATTGGTAAGTAACCTGAGGGCTGATAACTTAGGACCATATGAATCTCCTACTTCTCAACAATCATCTGCATACTTACTATAAGGTATATATTACTGTTTCACATAAATTAATATGTATGTTACTCTTTCATATAAATATGAATCATGAAATTATATCTTATATATGGACAATTATATATGCATATTGATGGTATACTTTTGATATACATATATACATATTATCCTTCAGTGTTGGATATACATATATATATATGATATACATATACATATATGATATACATATATACATGTTATCCTTCAGCGTTGGATCTATGTTATATGTTTTGTGAACCATTTAAGATATCTTACAGAATAATTCAGAATACAACAAATTTATTTTGTTCCTGACTTTAGAACTTAAACCCCATAAATATATAACATCATTGTAAACATATCTTCACTTTCAACTTGTTGAGCTTCTCCATGCCCAGTGTTCTGTTAGAGCTCTGATAGGCAGAAATACATATCTTGGAGAGAAAGATGAGAGGTTTTTTTTTAAAGATTTTATTTATTTGAGAGAGAGATAGCAAGAGAGAACACGAAGGAGAGGGAGAAGCAGACTACCCGCTGGGCAGGGAGTCCAACGTGGGGCTCCATCCTAGGGCCCTGGGATCATGACCTGAGCTGAAGGCAGACGCTTACCCGACTGAGCCACCCAGGCACCCCAAGATGAGAGTTTTTAATGTGGAGATTCTCATCTGTCAAGGAGGCAGATGGCAAGCTGTTCTGCCTTATGAGACTTCTAAGAGTTGGGTATCATGTGAAGATCTTAGTGAATGATGCTGGGCTTCTGCCAAAAATGGAGAGAAGCTTTTTGTCAACACTCTATTCCTATAGTCAGTTTGCATCAATTTGGGTTTGTTCAGAAAACAGAAATCCCACCAGAATTTAAAACAGAGTTTTAATATAAAGAATTATTACTCAATGATGAGTAATATAAAGACATCAAAAAATTCTTAAGGGCCCCTTAGGACTGAGGGAGAGACCCTAAGGAAGGACAAACTTAGATGAAAGATCCCCCCCAGAGGCTGGGTTTCAGACTGCCTTGGAGAAGATGTGATTGCATCCTACTGGATGGCAGAGAAATTTCCTGGGTTGCCAAGTACTTAGAGAGTTGGAGTGGGACTATAGACAGCTGAGATGCATGGTATCCACATCAAGAAGGCTGCAGGAGATAGCCCTCTATGGCACATACAAGCCAAGGCTGATGGGCAGGCATATAGAGAAAGCTGGGATGCCACTGTGCATATGTGGCCTGGAGCACACAGTGTGTCATCAGGAGGGTCTCAGCAAGGTGGTCACTGGGTCCAGGTCAGGTCTGTAAGGTCTCCAAGACACTCCATGCTCTGGGGCGTAGCTGATGCTAAGCATCACTGAATG